CCACAGCCACCACTGCTGCTACCTATGTTAGAGCTCCTACAACATCTAGCACCTCCCACTAGTCTCCTCCTTGTTTCTAGGGTTCCGTGACACCTCTCGTCTCGGCATGACGTCCTCTTTGAGGTCAATCCCTTGGCCAGACTGCCTAACAGTTCCCTTCGCTCTTTGGCTTCTCGCTCACCGCCTACAGCTGGTGAGCCCGCACGTAGACTGCACGCTCGTGGAGGACCACATTATTTTCCTCCTTAGCTTCTGGCTCCACAACCTTGAGGTGCGCTACTGGGCTTCTTGCCCCGCGCAGCAGTAGTAGCAGCAGCAACCCGGTAGGGTCTTGGGCGTGTTGGCCACGGTGGAGGGCCAGGAGGTGGGGCCCTGAGGCGGTCACTCCCTTGGGGCCCGCGCGGTTTCCCTGGAGGCCCGGGGTCCTGGGGGCCCGGGGAACTAAGTCCCACTACTGTGTGTTGTCTAAGAGCCTCCACTACGTGTCCCCTAGGCTCCTCCTCTACCCTAACTACGGTGACCCTCTCCGTCACACTCGAATCTCGCACATCTCACTGCTTCTTTCGACACATTACTGCTCTCACCCCGCCTCCTGCACCAGTACAGATCTCGGATTTTTAAAAAATGGCATTTCTTTATCATGGATTTCGGTTTGTAAAGTTTACACCACTATTAAGGGGTTTCCATGTTCATGCGAGTTGTGTCTACCCAATGTAGTGTATCCCAAGCCACATGCACATTCATACGCTTTTCACATTTCATGCTCGTCGAGTACGCTCTGAGCCAAATTTCTCATCATATGTTCCGAGTGCTGCCGGGCTTGCCTATTGGTTTGTGCCCAGCAATATCTTATTGCTGGGCTTGTTTTGGTATTGCGAATTGTATACTCATCTTTGCTAAGGCGACTCATTTCTCATAGTTTTTAGCTCATACAGGTGACATATATTCAATTCCATGCCACTCTATAGATTCACTCATACTGTAACAATTGTGTCGAAGTGCGGTCCGCACCAAACTGGGCTCAGTTTGACCCCAGTTCGAAATGTGTGCCTTGCCATGGATTGACGGCTCCGATCTGGCAGGAGATTGTCATGCTCGTACTGGCTTGACGGTTTGTCCGTTGTGGCGAGGAGAGCTTGACAGTCGCATTGCGTCTGGTCTTGTTTGACGTGAAACACGTTAGCGAGGGAAAGGATGTACAGCGGATATGCCATTAAGTCCTTGACATTTTTGTCCCTATACTATCCTACCGTCCATAATTCGGTAGGATCCAGCACGTTATACTCCGATCGTACGGAATACAACTACTATCGTGCGTATGATCAACGTCGCAAAATGTCATGTCCGCCAATGAAACTTCTGACGAGGTTCCTTGCGATTTGAGAGTGGCTGGACGAAAGTCGCATATTATTTTTGCGAAATCCAATACCGCCATGTATGCCGCTCAGTCGTAATAAACTGGGGTCAAAATCCAGATGGCGACCCAACGGCCAGTTAAATATCGCCAGTTGGACAATCAGCAAGCTGTACACAGGCACGTGTACTGTGCAAATATTTCAATCCATTCTATCTTACGATTACGGTCATATTCTAATCCTTGTGTCAAGAGCATCGAGGCGTTTTCCATTTTTTAGAACCAATCATGTAAATATTCAGATTTCCCGCATGATACGAACAGGTCCGTCCCAAATACGAAAACACGACCCTCGTTCCCTCAATCACCATTAACAACTCCACATTTCAAAAATGATTTTCTCAAGGGGGTCTTTTTCGCTTTCATAAAAATGTGTGGTTGGTTAAAGCGAGTGGTCAAAATAATGAAGGCGGGTCCAACTTGAAAGGGCCCAGAAGTTCGTCGTAGCGACTAAGGGACAATCTGGTTGGGGCAGAGGGGTTCACTATCGAGACATGCGAGTAGGGGAAACTGCGCAAGCATGAGCAGTTACTTGATTGGTTGGCGGGAAACCCCGTTCCGTTTGGTGGGAAACGCGGCATGAGCAACACTTGGCGCGAACAAACTCAAGTCGCAAATTGTGCGCGACCAATCACACAGTCCCCACTGCGCGCAAGTTGAACCAAGTGGGCCCAACTTGAATTTCAAGTTGGACCCAGGTTCACAACTCCTGCTAAACCAAGGCTGGTTGCCGATTGGTCGAAATTATTGTCTACGCATGCTAGTGGTTGTACGATATGTTACGATAGCATTCTCGTCGTAGATGCAATTCGATTTCATGGCCCAAGGCAAGCTAAAAAATCTGGGCTGCTGCCCGGCGCAAAGCAAAATATTCGCTCAAGGGTCGTTTCTAATTGGGCCCAACTAGAAAGAGGGTCCACTATTATAACATTTCGCTTTAACGAAACCGCTCAATTTAAGCTGCTGACCCAAATTGCAGAAATTGTCTTTCAAGATTATTAAACTTGAACACCTCCGAGCGGTAACCCAGTACCCCAAAGCGAGCATTGCAATCGAATTCGCAGCCCAACACGACGGGGTTCAGAAGAAGCGCGCGCGCCACCCCCAACATATTCCGCACGAACCCCCGACACACTTGGCAATTGAGCAGCATGAAACTTGAAAACGCGTGCATACAATTTGGGACTTTTGGAGAACAAAAACCCAGCCCACAGTTGAGTTGAGCCCTGCGGGGCGTGTTCAACACAATCATGTAGTTGCGTTGCATCAGTGACCCACTACGGAAAAACGACACCTTTAATTTCGTGGCAAATGATAAAACTGACAAAACCAGGAAACAATGATTGGAACGAAGCAATAAATCACGCCCCTGACAAAGAAACCCCTTTGCAGGCGCTACATACAGTCCGTGACGTGCGCCGCTCTGGCCAGGTATTCTTCCCCCACTCCACCCTACGCCTTGCGCGCGCCCCCGCTTTCCCTTTCCCCACCTCCGATTTCCTCTGGTCGTTGTTTGCGAATGTTTTTTTCCTGTCATAATTTGTATGCTCGCTCTGATTGGTTTTCGTACTGTGCTGTGTTCGCCCACTCTCGCCACCCTCACACCACTACTCCACGCCCCTGTTCTTTCACCAGCTCAACTTTTTGCCTGGTTCATCTTTATTAATCTTGTACATTTTGGGTCAACGGCTTTTAGTCGTCAAAATTTCGTTCCATTTAGCCCTTTTCGTGAGACCACGAAAATGGTTTTCCTTATTATTTGTTTTGCGCGTTTTGAGCTTGCGCTGCTTGTGGGAAGTCCGGGAACGAGGTGTGACTTTTTTTTGTCCGCGTGTTTCTGACCAGACGACAAATTCGCTGTGCGTTTTGAAAACAGCAACCACAAATGTAGACGCGGGTTTTAAGAGGTCACATGACCCCTCACATGACACGCGGCGAAATTGCTGGTAACCTGGCCCAAGTTGGCAATACGCGAAGGCACTCATCGTAAACAAAACGAGTATTACGGCCTTCGCCACACCACCTAAAATCTATAGTTCTACTCTATTATCCAGTTTGCCCGTTGGGTGGGACCTAATCGTCGGACTCCATATTTGCGAGTCTCGGATTTGAAGCTAACGGAATACCCGCTGTACTGTAACGATCTGACCAGTACGCGAAATATGTTTCCCTTCGCGAACTATTTCGTCTCCTGAGACGCGTCGTGACTCGTGATTCGGAGCTGCAGTCTTTTACCGATCTTGTCAGGAAGCAGAAACAATGATCAACGAATGGGAGAGCGGAAAAAAGCTGCACGTGAAAGCAACAGTCAAGTCGTTGGAGCTTCTGTCGCCAAGTCTTCCCTCCCTGCTCGGCCCTCAAGGTGGCGAGGGACACGCGTAGGCGACGCGGCTTTCGTGGGGACTTTTCTGGACAACGCGAGCATCACAGAAGTGGGGGAGGCAAGGCAGGATTCCTGGCACAATTTGGCGTCCACTTTCTGCTGCCTCTGTGCCAGGGGGCAGTGGCGAATTTGTATGGGTACTAGCTGCAGAAGTACACAACTTGTGGGCTGTTCTCGGAGACCCCTTTAGTTTTTTTTTTTTTTTTTCCCGCAAAGGTTCACGTTTGTGAGGGCGGATTCAGCAGCTACTGTCAGACCCGCGGCCGAAGGAGCCGCGGGTTGTCACAACCTAAGTGCGGGTTTAATTTTCTTGACGGTGCAGTGGCTGCATAGTCGCGAACTTTCACAGGGGGGGGGGGTGTTGCGACTATACTGGTAGAGCTTTTCAAGTCCAACAGAATTTTACGAAGTTATGACTGGTGGAAGTTCATTTGCGCGACTTTGTTAGTTGTTCGGTTTGACAGCTGACTGGCTGGAGCCGTCAGTTTTTCGCAAGACCCAAGGCAATTTTTTTTTCCAGCCTCGGATCTTCCCTCTAAACCCTCGGGTCTAACACTCGCTGCGGAAGTACCCTGAGAGTGTCAGTGAATGTTCAAGCAGTAGGGTGAGACAACGCCGATTGACTGGTATTTCGAGCAGCATGCAGTGTATAGATGTCAGGACCAAGCAAGATCGGAAGGCTTTTATTATTTCGGGCATTGAATCCTTTAGACACAATACAGAACTGCACTGCACTTCGGATTCGGATCGCCGTACCTGCCAAATTGTCTTTCTGTGACTGAGGGAATGTTTCTAGTAGGTGTCACCTGAGAAAGTGTCATCCGAGAATGTTGGAAACACATCGTAACCGTTAATTTGAAATTTCAACGGTTGTAATGAGTTTCCAACATTCTCGGATGACACTTTTTCAAGATGATACCTACTAAAAACACGACCTGGTCGTCTGTCCCAATCAACCTCCCACAGGAAACCGCCAGCCCAGAGACTCAAGAACCCAGATCCTCATTCCTCTCCTCTCCACTCCTCATCCCTCGTCGCTCCCTCCCCCCATCCCCCGCTGCTGCACTCATCACCACCACACACCACAACGCCATTGCACTCACAAAAAATGTCGCGACTTTCTCGCCATGACTCACACTCGCATCAGTGCACGACGACGACCTCATGACCCCACAGCCAGCTTCCCCCCTTTCTCCTCTCTCACCACGCGTTAGCTCTACCACGCGTTTCATATCCTACACCACAGCTCCAGGAGGCCTCCCGAGTTGGTTCGGCATGACACGGTCCGTTACATTTCTTTAGCACCACGACCTACTAATCAACGCCCTTCTGGTTTCCAGTAAATCATTTACAGTCTGCTTCGAACAATCTCAGATTGAGCCTCTTTACGGGGTCAATAATCCCGCGAGAAACGGAAGTAAGAAACTAGTACCGCTCACTGCTAGTAGTAACGTCGCGCGAGGCTCGCGGAGCTCCGCCATGGCGACGTTCGAGAAATCAGCCACAGCCTCCCCTCTCCTCTCCTCATCCGCCTCCTCCTTCTCCTGCCGCTCTCCCGCACTGCAGCAGTCACTCGGCGCGGCGTCGCCGTCGCTCTCCCCGTGTCCGTCGCTCAACGCGTCGTCCGTGATCGTCCTGCTCCCAGACGACAGCGTGCGACTGTACGAGCAGCGCATTTCCGCCAATCGCGTGCTCGCGGAATTCCCCAACCACGAGCTCCGTCGCGCGGGCAGCGGGCGGTCGCTGGACACGAGCAGTCATCTATCGTCGCGTGAAACCTACGCGCTGATCAACCCCCAACTCCAACTTGGCCCCAAACCTGAACCATCTCACCATCACCCCACAGCGTCAAGCCAGCAGCAGCGGCCGCCGCAGCTGCCGCTGTCCCAGAACGAGTCGTTCTCGCAGCTGCCTCGAGAATACTCGCCGACGGCGCCGCCGCTGCAACGCGCGCGAACGACAAGCCCGGAACGGAGTCATTCTGCCGCCCCAAGTAATGCCATCGCTATCCTCAATGATAGTACGAACTCTTGTCATCCCGTGACTCACGCGCCGCCGGATGAGCCGCAGCGAGGACGGAGCTCGACGCGCCGAAGCGCCGCTTCGACGGCGGCAGATACCCGGCGCCGCTGCGACGACGGAAATTGCGGCGCCGCTCCCCATCGCGTCTTTGATGAGATAGTGGCAGCGCCGACCTCGCCTTACGACGGTCCGTTTGTAGCTTCTGCCGGCCGCTCTGTTGGCCCTGACGGTCGTGATCGCGCGCAACGCGCCGGCGCCGCGACTTGCGGGGAGACGGTTTCCGCCGCAGGAGCAGCGGCAGACCAGGAACGCGCGTCGGAAAGGACGGGCTTTGGCGAATCCCCGTCGCGAGACTACAGTCCTCAGGCTGCCGAAAACGAATGGAGCGAACAATCGGTGGCGGGTGATTCTTGTACTCCCGGTGACGCCGCCGCGTCGGCTTGGGCGGCGCGGCGTGACGATCACTTCGTAACGACGGCGGCGATGGCGTCGCCTCTGTGGCGGCAGTCGTCGCTGACGACTTACCTGCCGTCCACGGCGGGCGGAAGGTTCCTCGCCGCCACCACTGGCATGATCATGCACGCGCAGCACGCGCCGCACGCACCGCACGCACCGGCGCCGCTCTTCCCGATGGCGTTTCCTGACACGAAGGCGGCCGACGCGCCGCTGCCGCCGTCGCAGATGCCGCCGCCGCCGCCGCTTGACACGTCAGCGCTGCTTTGCCCCGACTCGGAGCTGCTGACTCATGGCGAGCTGCAATTTGATTCGTGGATCGACGAGTCTGCTGCTGACGTGGCAACGCCGCGCCTGCCGCCTCATCGTCATGTTCCGAGTCGTGCGGAAGAATCTGCGAGCGTCGACGGTCTCCGCGGAATCCGCGGAACCGTCGCGGCGGGGGGGGGAGGTCAGAGGGAGTGGCGCGGAGGCGATGCCGCGAGAGGTAGCCTTCCGCCAGAGCTCCCCCAAAATGGTCCGAATGCCGCCAATCACGGACTCAAGGCTACCGCTAGTACTACCAGTGGTACTGAGTCTACTAGACTTAGTACCGGCGCGGGAGACGGCGAAAGGAGCGGTGCCGATTGCTTTAGCGCTTCGGAGTCGGAGGGAGGGGAGGCATCAGCGGCAGCGAGAGCACGAGGCGGGGCGTTCGTGAGGAAGCGCGCCACGTCGGGATTCCTGGACCTCTCCTCGTCTAGCGGTACTAACCTTTCTGCTACTCACAATAGCAGCGGCGGCGGCGCATGCGGCGGCGACGATTCCCCCCCCAAGACGCGGCACGCTCGCGCCGGCAGCTCGCTGCTCGACGAGTGGTCGGATCTGGGCGGCAGGCCGCCGTGGGTTGCGGGCGGCGGGGGTGCGATGTCAGGCAAGGACGCGTCCGCGAAGTCGACGGAGAAGCGGCGGCCCATCTTCCACCAGAAGACCCCGTCGGGGCGCATTTTGCAGGAGGTAAGGCTGCTACCAGCAGGGAAGCGCTGCTCATTGTGCCTTGTGCTCTCCGCGATTGGGCGGTATTGCTAGCTAGTCCATAGTCCATGTCCCCCGAAAACAAGGTTCAGCTTTCCCGTGTTTGTCCGCCGTCGCCGCCGCTCGTCCGTCCGTCCGCCCGTCCGTCCGTCCGTTGATGACCCTCAATCCGTCGGTTCATCCACTCGGCACAGTCTCAACCCTAAACCCTGTGGTTACCCTTTAACTCAACACTGCCCTCCTCCCATCTCTCTCTCGCTTCTCCCTCTACCCCCCCCCTCCTCCCCCCCCGGTCCCCCCCAGCTGTTCGACCTGGAGAACGGCCCTCTGGATCTGGAGTTCCTGGTGAGCCTGCGCACGCCCAGCCGCCGCCACTACGACTCGCCCGCACGCTCCTCCGCTCACTCCTCGCCTTACGCCCGCTACACGCTGACGGCCACGCCCCCTCGCCCCCCCTCGTCTCTCGCTCCTGCTCCTGCTCCTGGTGCTGCTTCGGACGGCCCGGCGCTGCTGGGTGCTGCCTTGGTCTCCCTTGATTCAGCAGCCATGGATTGTCCGATTCCTCGCTCTGCTTCCGCCGGTTCAGATGCCCCGCACCTTTCTCCTGCTGTTTCTGCTGCTGCTGCTGCTTCCTCAGCTGGTTCTTCTGCTGCTGATGATGACGAGGCGGCAGCGGCGGCGGCGTCAGCATGGGCAGCAGCTGAGCTGGTGGATGGGTCGGTGTCGCCTGTGGCTTCTGCATCGCGCGGCTGGATTGCATCGGCCGCGCGCTCGCGCTTCATCTCGCGCATCGCTCACAGCTTCAACTACTCCTCGCTGCAAGGCCGCCGCGGGCTCTTTGGCCTGCGGAACAAGAGCACCACCGGCAGCAGCAGCAGCAACGGGGGAGGCAACGGCGGGAATGGCATGTCAGCAACAGGCTCCACTGCTGCTGCTGCTGCTGCTGACAGTGCGTCAGGCAGTGGCAAGTCTGGCAGCAGAGTGGGAGGCGGCACTCGGTTGCTGATCCGACGGGAAACCATGCCCATGGTGCGGCACGAGCACATGGCAACGGCTCTGGATGGCAGCTCAGACCGCTTCTCGGCGGCTGTTGCTGGTGCTGCCATTCATGCCAGTGCCTCGGACGGCGATTTGAGCTCCACTGCTCACCTGCCCAATGCTGCTCCACCAGTCCCTCAATCCTCTGCTGCTGCTGTTGCTGCTGCTGCTAAGCACGAGGCGGGCCGGACCCTTACCAGGCATGGTCTGGCGGGCAGCAGAGGCAGTACGCGCAGCATCTCCATCGGAGCAGCCAGCAGTGGCAGCAGCACGAGCGTGGGAGCGGCACACAGCAGCAGCAGCGTGGGGGTGGCACGCAGCAGCAGCAGCGCAAGCGGCGTGTCTCAGGCCAACATGGTAGCATGGGGGGGGGCGCCAGAGCCGAGCCTGCACGATGCGGCATGGAGAGTGCTGCTGATGCAGCAGCAGAAGATAGCTGAGATGGAAGCGGAGATCCTTGAGCTCAGGCAACGATGCTGTGTGGCGGGGCTAGGTGGCAGTGGGGATAGGGGCACAAGCGGAGGTGGCACGGTGGTGATGCCTACTGCAGTGTCAGTTGACGGTGCTGATTTTGTGCTGGAGAAGAAGCACGGAGGTGGGGCGTCAGGAGGAGCAGTGTATGGTGGACTTGGGAAGTTCACGGCTTTGAGTGTGCGCAGCCGGCTTAGAGTGGGACTGGAGGAAAGGGGCGAGAACACGCTTGAAGTGGGATGTGATGAGAGGGAGAATGCCGGAGGGAGCGAGGTCATTAGCGTGCACATCCCTTCGCCTACCTCCTCCCACTGCACTCCGAGGTGGACAGCCCGTGCTGCCCGCCGCCCTGACTCTCCCGTCGTCTCGCCTCGGTTTTCCCCCAGGCCTGCGGTTGCGGTGATGGGTGCTGCTGCTGCTGCTGCTGCTGCTGCTGCGGGTCTAGCTTCGGAGTCTAGCTCTGCTGCTGCTGCTGGTGTTCGTCAAGGCTTCAAGGCGTTCTAGGTATAGACAGGACGATTTTTTATTTGACTCAAGTGATTTTTTCAGGTGCCGCAAGCCCTCATTCAGCGGGGATGAGGCATTCGCTACTTGCTTGCCGCTTTCTGGGTTGCGGATGGTTCTCGTGTATTTGCATTTGCATTTGCATTTGCTGAGTCGGGCCCCGTATCTTGTTGCAGGGAGAATGCTGTGTGCGCATGGCTGAGCCGAACCAGCAGATCACAGCTGCCCGCTATTGCAACCCATGATTTCCCCTCTTTTTGGGTTTTTGTGCTCCTGGTTTTCTAGGTGCTTATGTTACAGAGGTCTGTGGCTCAGTCCAGCGCACATGTTAACAGGGTGATTTACCCTGTTTCCTCGGATTTTCAGGGTGTTTGTGTCACACATATATGCATATGTTATTATAGGCAAAATAGGTGCATGCTCATAGAGAGTACAACTCATTAGCACAAAGTCACCCTACATCCTCCATTCTACTCAATGCGCTATTCTGAGATGGTATCACAATAGGTTAGGTCCAGGCCCTCAGATTGGCTTGAAGTCATCCTGATTGCAAAGGACTACCCGTGGTTTTTTCCCTGAATTTTCAGAGGTCCCCAAATTTTTTTGCTTATGGGTCAGGATTGTGTGGGACAAAATTGCTGAATGGACAGAGATAGATGGTTTTTTTTTCCTGATTGACAAAATGAAGAGGAAATTGAGAAGCAAGGAACTTGTTGGAAATATCTCAAGGACTTAAGCGTTTCTGAAGTGTAACACTGTACTCGAGGAAGATTACAGGGGAGCACGCGAGTCAACGGAGGTTACACGAGGGGGCGGACAAAGAATGCGAAAGGACTCGAAAGGTCGCAACTGGAGGTTGCGACTGACCGTTACAACATCACGGATGGTAACCGAAGCGGCAATCGAGTCGCTGTGCGACTCGATAAACCGTTCCTGTAACTGTATTCTACAACTGCTTTCTTATCTTCTATATATTGCTGTATGCTTGTTTCTTTAATCAATCACTTGTTCTCACATACTAGTACAAGGGTTCAACTGCCTCAACTTCCGCTGCACTACTCCAAGTCTCAAGTCTCTACAAGCTGGGACTTAGTCTCTGCAAAAGATCCTAAGGGCTTTTTCTCAGCCCAACATGGTATGAGAGCTGGTCGGAGACCAAACTCCCAGCAACTACGCTCCATCAACGACCTGCAACTCAACTTGATTCAACAACTCCATTGATTACAAGACATGGACAACAAGGGCAAGAAAGTCTCTACGGGCTCACCCAGCGCCCAAGAAACTCAACACGGCAACTCTGGTCTGCACACCTCAGGACTGCAGACAGAGACCGGGACTGCTCAAGAAACAACGGGAAGAGTACCAGAGATGGTGACTCCGTCTCCCTCTTCAAGTGTGGACCCGAATCTCATGGAGAGATTCTTCAGCTTCATGTCACACTTCGATCAGCAGCAGCAGACAAGGACACCTGCGCACTCAACACAGAGCAATGGAGGGAATATGGGATTAGCGCCGATGAGCCTCGACAACTCATCCTTCGGGCGACACAATCAAGCGCCTACCTTTGCGCCTTATCACTCTTCACCGGGGACGTTCGAGTTCATGCCGCCCCGTGCCCAACCAACAGCAGCTGCATCACAACAAACACCAAACGAGATTTTAAGTCTCCAGGCACAGTTTTCACACGTGATTAAACTGCAGACATCATCACCGTTCAACGGACACGACTTCTTTACCTGGAGCTTCGAGTTCGAGCTGCTGATGGAGGCCGCGCATCTTCTGGGATACTTCAACGGGTCCCTGCCATTCCCAAGCAACGGCACTGGGAAGGAACAAGAGATCTTCACGTATCAGTCGCTGCTGGCGTACACGGTACTCCTGAGAAACCTGTCACCACAAGAGCAGCAGAGCATCAGAACGTATCGGAGTTATGGAAACTCCGCGGAGCTCGCATGGCACCACCTCAAGTGCCTTTACCAAGCAAACGACAGCGTGACACAAAGCAGACTCATGCAACAGCTGACAACAATACAGATGAAGACCGGGGAAAAAGCGATGCAGTATATGAGTCGCTGCCAGACCCTCCGCGACCGCCTGCTTCGGTGCGGAGGAACGATCACTGAAGAAAGCTTCGTGACACTTGTCCTCGCCGGGCTCGGGCCAGAATGGAGAACCACACGATCACTTCTTCGAGCCCACGGAAGAATTTCGGAGATGCACCTCTGCGCCGAGCTTCACGCTGAACAACAGGAGATGGATCTGTTCGAGGAAAGACAACCAAGGAAGCAACAGCAGTTAGTCTTCTACACTCAAAGAAGAAATGACAACAACTACAACCGACGCAGCAAGCAAGATCAACGCGACAACCGAGGACTCACCATCGTGCCGCCGTTCTGCCACAACTGTCAGACTTCCGGGCACTCCAAGGTCAACTGCAACCGCCCTCGCGTTTACCGTGCAGCAGACCCACAAGTCGCTTCCACTCAAGCAAGTCCTCCAAGGCGCTCTTCAACATCTGCACAACAAACACCCAACATCATCAACTGCATGGTACACATCGACAACTGCGCACCCGCTTCACCACCCACTTACGCACCAGACGAAGAGGAATTCCCGCCGCCGCGCTCGCAAGGACTTCAGGTCAACCCGACATACGCTGCAGTCGCTAACGCCGAACCCACCGGGCGGAACACCTGGTTCTTGGACAGTTGCTGCGGTCAGCACATGTGCTCCTCCGGACGCTTCGTACAACACGAGCGACGCCTCAACCGCGACGTCGTCATCACCGTCGCCAACAACGAAAACCTGAAAACAAACAGACAAGGCGTGGTTCAGTTACAATCAATGGAGACAAACGTTATTCTTCAGCTCAACAAAGTCCTCATCGTCGACAATCTGGGATACAACCTACTAAGCGTAAGCCAACTAATGGCTAAGGGGATTCACCTGGAGTGCGACTCCTTCTCCAACGAGTTCCGCCTTTACCACGGGAAGGGCGGCCTCTTCATCGGTCGTGCCCTCCTGAAGTCCGGTGTCTTCGTGTTGGACTTCGTCCCCGACCGCGGAACTGCCGACAGCGATGGCATCGTATCGTTCGCCGCCTGGACTCACCCGCCGGATCTTGATCCCGACTTCGACAGTGACGGCTTCTGGCACTCCAACACCATACCTGCAGCAGAGAGAACACGAGCATTAGCAGTTATCAGACAAGAAAGACAAGTACCCGCAAGTGTCCCAACAAAACCATCACCTGCAGTATCGGCAGCAGGACCCAGCCGAGTACCACCACCATCAACACGAGGACCGCCAACGGAGGCAGACCAACTTATGCCCGCCACACGAGAAGCTTGTCGAAGTCCCGCCTCGGTCGTCGCGTTCTTCTCCAACGCCGACATCTACCACCGCTCGCCCGGTCACCGTGCTCCCGACGACATCTGGCACCAACGCCTCGGACACCCTGCAAACAGCACAATACTTCAAACAATCCAAGCAGAGGTGTTAGAACGTAACGCCCTTCTAACGACGAGCGGCCAAGAACTTCGCCGACCAAGAGCACGATGCTTCACGTGCCCCGAAGCAGATCTTCCTCATCAACCCTTCCCATCCCATCATAATCCAAGCGCGCCTGCATATGCAACGATGGAAAAAGTCTACAGCGACATCTTGAACATGCCTCGAGACGACACGGAAGCCGACTTCAACTACGTCATCACCTTCGTCGATGCAGCAACAAGATACACTTGGCATTACAACCTCAAGACGCGCGATCAAGCCTTCGACGCCTTCACAACATGGCTCCCCATCGCCGAGCGGGAATCAGGAACCAAGCTCAAAAGCTTCCAGTCAGACGGTGCCCTAGAATACCAGTCACAACGCTTCAGGACCTATCTGGCGGAAAGAGGAATCAAGCGCCTGGTGTCCCTACCATACGCTCACCAGCAGCAGGGGGTCGCCGAACGCATGAACCGGACCTTGCAGACGACGATGCGAAAGCTGCTCCTGGGGATGAGACTGCCCAATACACTGTGGCCAGACGCGATGACACATGCAGTCCACCTGCACAACCTGTTGTCCTCGTCATCGCTCCCCAACAACGCATCACCGCACCTGCTGTGGACGGGAAAAAGGGGCAGCACAAAATTACTTCGAGTTTTCGGCTGCATGGTACAATACAGACCCCACACAGCTCGAGCAGGACGCTTCACTCAACGAGCTCGGTGGGGACTACACCTCGGCATCGCCAAACATTTTCACGCGTGGAAGATTCTCGACATACACGACAAAAATACGGTGGCATCACGTGATGTTATCTTCTACGAGCGACTGACGCTGCAGCATTACCTGGACAACATTGCCAACTCAGACGACCCCACCGACGGCTTCGCGGGCCTTCGCTCCTTCGCTGACCATGCTGCCGAGGCTGACGCAGCAGAAGAAGACGTCCCTGGAGCCTCGGAGGCTGCCGGACCACTCCCCTACTGCTCCGTACCTGTTCCACTCGATGAAGATAATCCCCTCGATAGCAACAACCTCGACACCTTTTACCACTTCGCTGACCAAGGCTACGCTACACCACACCCCGTCGACTCGAATATTTCCGAACGCATCGGGCCAAACTTCTTACCCGATCCTGAAGACGGTGATGAAGCAGCTTATCCCGAGAATGAAAACTCCCCTCGACACACAGCCACGGGACTGCAGATCCTAGGACTATGGGTCTCCGTCCAGCACCCGCCGCCGCCTTCTCCGCGCGAGCCGTCGACCCTGTCGCAGGCTCTGGGGGGGGAACATAAGGCACAATGGAAGGAAGCGATGGAAAAAGAGTTAAAAGCTCTGCAAGACCGAGAAACATGGAAACTGGTACCTGCAACGAGCATCAACGGGAAGAACATTCTCTCGGGGAAATGGGTGTACCGCATCAAGACCAACTCAGACGGCTCCATCGAACGATTCAAAGCTCGATGGGTCGTACGAGGTTTCGATCAACGATACGGAACCGACTACACAGAAACCTTCGCTCCAGTCTCCCGTCACACCTCCCTGCGCATCCTACTCGCCATCGCGGCCACGAAGAAACTACCACTACGGCAAATCGACGTTGCAAACGCCTTCTTGTACGCACCTGTGGACGCCGAAATCTTCGTCGAACAACCCCACGGATTCATCGACGACCCTTCAAAAGTATGCCAGCTGGAAAAATCCCTTTACGGGATCAAGCAAGCCCCACGGCTCTGGCAGCAGCACCTTCACGGCCGGCTCGTAAAAATCGGATTCCTACAGTTACCACATGACCAAGGCATGTACCGACTACAGAAGGGAAGAGATTACATTCTGCTCATCGTCTACGTCGACGACCTGCTCTACATCGGTTCTACCACCGACATCGTCACCTGGTTCGAAGGGGAGCTGAAAAGGGACCTAACGCTCACGGTGTCCGACGAGGTGA